CTATCACAAATTGTGCTGCTATAAACATAGGCACACATATATCCCTATGATATGATGTTTTCATATCCTCCAGGAAAATTCCCAGTAGAGGAATAGCAGGTTTAAATGGGATTTCCAGTCCAACTTTTCTAAGGAGTCTCCACACTGATTACCATAACGGTTGCACCAGTCTACATTCCCACTTTCCAACGATTTCTACTCTACTATTCTGGAAATCTTTTTAAGGCACAGGTCTACCATTCGCACTTAAAACATGTACCTGGCCTCCGGTATATGTCAAAATTTAGAATTTCTAGGATTTGCAAAGATCATAAATATCACTTTGTCACATTAACATTTATTTAGTAAATGTGTGAATATTCATATTAAGTGGGATAAATACTATATACATTATAGTTTATTTACATGAGGATAACTTTTAATACTTATGCATATCCTTACAAATATAGTAAACTAAATATGTAATACAGTCTAATAATTTATTACAGAATTGGAAAAGATTATAAAAACTTTACTGCTTTTCTCTTCACCCAGGATAAACTTTCAAATGCATACAAAATCAAAGCTAAACCCCTGTAGGTGTAGATGTTCATGTATGCAGAAAAGACTCATCACATCTGGTTACCTTAGGATCTCAGAGAAGGGTCAATCCTGCTGGAACAAGATGCTGGTGACGTGCCAGGATCTGGCTCTCAGGTGGTAACACACTGCCACCCGAGATGGCCTTCTAAAGATTTCTGCCCATGCCATGTCTTATGAACGTATGTTACTGTCCATGTGATGGTTCTTTATTTGTCACGGTGCTTTAGCGATTCTGCTATCAATGCTCACAATGCAGCCATTGACACCATTCATGTTATCATTACTGTCCTCATGCTTAGGTCTTTATAGACCTCCTGCTAATTCCTCCATCACCTAACAAATGACTGACAGAAGCAATGTGTCAATGTTTAGCATCTCAAGGACAGATTCTTCTGGCTTATTAATGGTTCTGACCATTAAATGTATTGTGCAATTAACGAGGTTAGGTATCGTTGTCTCACTAGTGACAGAAAATCCTTCAAAGTATTTGTAGGCTCATTTTCAAATCTGTCAGCTAAAGTACAAAACATTTATTGATATGGGTTTATCAACATCATTTTGGGCATTAAATAACTTTGAAAACAGACCTTTATGACTGAGTTCTTAAGGAAATTTTGATTCCTGGGCCTGCTAGTTGTGTGGGCAGCACAAATACTTTTCCAGGCATGACACTCACTGGCAGGAAAAGCCGCATTCTGGTCACAACATATGTAAACGCGTTATGGCTTGTGTATATGTGTCCCCCCAAAGCCTCATGGAGTCCTGGAGCAGCTTCTGGAGTTCGTGATTACTTTGGATGTGGGCACTGCACCTGCCCTGGAGCAGGTAATTTGAATTACAACATAAGGAGGGAGGAGAGGCTAGCTAGCCAACAAAGCTGCTGCCACTCCCTTTTCTCTCTTGCTCTTTTGTCAAAGCCATGAAATGTTGCTCTCTTCCATGTTCCGCTGGAGCCAGCTGAGTATAGACTAAAACCTCCAGTAACTGTGAGCTAAATAAACCTTTCCTTCCTTCATTTTGAGTATTTGTCTAAGCAAGGAAAGAACAGTAACTTAAGATAGTACATTTGGAGTTGTGTGTGGGGGTGGGTGGAATAAATGCTCGCAACCTTTCTTTCCCCATAAGGTCAAAGAATTGTTAGGAATAATAAAAACTTTCAATCCTTGCTACACTTTCAAACTGCTACCCAAATTTCTGAATCTTTCCTTCTTAATGCTACTATTCTTCCTGAGTTGGGAGATCTTCACATATGCTGGGTTGTTCCATGATCTACAGAGCAATCAGTGACGTTTATTTATGTCCTTTTTGTCAAATCTACTTAAACATGGTTAGGATCTTCATTTTCTGTCTCACATAATTTTTTCCTTTTTTCCTTAGTTATTGATCTTTGTTGCCACTGTAAAGCAATCTTTGCCTTACACCACACGGTGGTTCCCACCTGTCTTTTTTAAGATGTCTCAACAGACACCTCGAGCATTAACAGCTCTAAAAACTCTGTGTGATTAATAGTGACAGACGTCAATTCATCTTCATTATTATTCATCAGGTTAAACCATTTTTGATGTTTTCACATGCAAGTAAATCCAAAGTAACAAACCAACAAAAAATGCAACAGTATCAGCAAGGAAAAGGTAGCAATACCTGGTAGGTGCACCAAGACAAGCAGGCTCTTCAGTTGAAGTTAGGATTCCACATCAAAAGGGTTTGAGGGCTAACCCTAAAACAAAACCAAATGCAAAGACACCTTTAATTTTCAGGTCTTTCCAGACTTGGAGTTTGTGACTAACCTTATACTGCGTAAACATGTACAAGCGCTAGAGCCAGGGTTGGTCAAGGAGAAATTGTACTTACAACCTTTTCATAAACACATACTGATGAATTCCTCCCCACAGACGGTGTTATACTTTGTAAGTGCTCAAACAATGGAAGATTGTGACTATTTCTCTACAACATTACTAACAAAGGGTGTTATCAAATTTTTGGACATTCATCAATTTAACAGGAAAGAAAACCCGCTTGATGTACATTTAATCTAGATTCACCTTATGAGTATGGGTAAGCAACAACAGTTTTTCTGTGAATGGTTTGTTTTTAATCCCTTACCCTTTTTCTCTTTGAGTTGTTTAGTTTTTTCATTAAAATCAAATTCTAGAAGTTCATTATTTATGAGTTTAGATTACCACTTATAATATGAACTTCAGACTTTGTTCATTACTTTTCACGGAAAGAAAAATTTAACACCTCGCACTAGGTATTCACATAAATAAGTAACTCCAGAGAACATACACACTCATAATTAAAAAGGATGCTGCTATATCACTACAGGTTGCTAAGAACTGAGCTAATCTACATGTTACCTACACAGAGTCTCCTTGGGGATAGGTCCCAATAAACTGAAAATACCTTTAATATACCTATCCTTCTGAAAATTCTAGATCAGCAACACCAAACACTGTAGAGTTCCAGCTGTTTCTACTGAAGATGGTGTGGCTGACTGCGACATGTGGCTCACTGCCACTGCCAGCAAATGGGTGCACTATACGGCACTTACAAGGCAGGGGAAAGAATAACATTCAAAATATGATATCTAGCAAATATGAATCACTCTCATACCATTTGCAGCCACAAAGAAAAAAACCTTGAACTATCATTAAGTAATATGGATATTCTGTAATCCCATCAAGCCCTAATTCAATACATATTGTACATACAGAATAGCATGGTAAAACCAAAATATGAACTCAAACATTAACCAGGAATCTTTATTCAATCTTGTTATCAGACATAAATAAAACCTTAACAAAAATCTCCTTCACTTTAAAAATATCTCAACTGGGCATGTGGACACACATCTGTAATCCCTGCTAAGAAGTTGAGGAAGAAGTGCAAGTTTAAGCACAAACAGCAACTTAGCAAGACACTGTCTCAAAATTAAAAAATTTAAAATGTTGGGATGTGCTCAATATAAAGGCCCTGGGTGCAGGCCCCCATATGGGAAAAAAGAAAATTCCCACATAACCTAAGACTAATTTTCCTTCTAAAACCACACATATTGTTTGAATTTATATATTCCCTGCACAGTATATCAGTGCCTGGGAGGAGGAAATGTCCCTTAGTTAAGGGAGAGGTAGTTCTAATACTATGACATCAACCCTGTTCTCACTGTTTTTAAGCATGGGTTTTGATTAATCATATTTGTTTAATATATTCACAAATACTCTGTAATGTCTGACATGTAACACCAAAAATACTTGATGGATACAATCTCAAAACAATTAAATTCTGAACTAAGTTTATACTTCAACCCATATGTATAAAACAGACAATATACCTAAGTGATAAAATTGTAGGCTTTAGGGACTAAGTAGTCTGTTAACACCACGTGACACTCAGAAGATAGTCACAAACAGATATTATTACTATTACTAGCGTGGGAACCAAAGCTGAGTCAAAACTACTTTAATATAAGGCCAGTAAAGGTGCCATTTGATTCTTTGCAAAATAATGATTATAATTAATATTTTCTATTACATGTATTAACTCACTAAACTCTTGCAAAAAGCTCCAAAGGTCACCCTGATGAAGCAGGTGGAGAAAGAAAATTCCAGAACCCTGCCCCAGGCACAGAGCAAATGAAGGCCAGTGCTGGTTTCAAACACCTGCAGTGCCACTGCACAAGCCCTGCACTCCACCCAAGTTCTGCTGTCTCAGCACCACTGTGACAACTGTTCAACTCCTCACATTTACAAACTTCCTCAGCAAGTCTGTCAGTTCAAATAATTTTAAGGGATCATCCCCGAAGTTAGGAGTTAGGGCCCAAATACTACTGCTTTTATGCTGTTTATGTTACAACATAACATGTTGTTTATGTTAAATATTATTTGGCCTCTGCAGAAACAGACCTTTCTTAAAACAGTTATCAAAACACTACTAGGCTCAGAATGACATCTACTATCCCTTTGTGTTTAACTTTAAAGGTAGAGATAAAACAGTAACACTTATTGAGAATCATGTATTTTTACAACCTCATGTAACTTTCCCAACTCTATACGCACATACTTCTATAGGAATTTCCACCACACATATCGGAAATGTGTGCAGTAACAAGTAACAGCTACGATGTACAGTACATTCCACACAGCCTGTTCTAGCTACTACATGCGTCTCAAGATGTCACATGCGCCACTGAAGAATTACAGAACGCGCAGAAAAGGACTCTATGAATGATTAAAGATCATGTGTTTACTATTAGATATCTATCACAAGGAACTATTAGATATCTATCACAAGGAACTAAATAGAAATGATGGTGACACAGAAGTGACATCTAGTCGGTTTCGGGTAACAGCTGACATAAACTTTGCAGGTTGTGCTAACTTCCTCCACGGAGGTTTTCCCCACCTATATCACCTTCAAAATTATTCCTCAGGGACACAGAGATGCCAGGACACAGCAGTTTTCTTCTTACGAGACGTGGGTGGTAACTCCCGCCCCCTTCGAATCGTCTCAAACCCGGTGTTGCCCTCTCTGCATTCTAATTACATTGCAGAAATGCCAGCTTCTTCGGTTTAATTCCTTTGCACTTTAAAAAAATCACTCCCAGGGGTCAGGGAGGTAGCTCAGTGGCTTAAGTGCCTGCCTGGAAAGCACAAGGTCCTGAGTTCAATGCTCCATATCGACAGAGACAGAGACACGGAGACAGACAGGGAGGGAGACAGGGAGAGAGCGAGAGAGGGAGGGAGGGAGGGAGGGAGACAGGGAGACAGGGAGACAGACAGAGACACAGACAGACAGACACACACACACACACACACACACACACACACACACACAATCAGTCCCAGAAAGCAGGAACTCAGCTGCAGAGTAAGTCAGGGCCCAGGGGCCACACTTCCCACCACAGCCACCCCGCTGCGGGTGCGCCTCCCGCCAGCCGCCAGGCTGCGGCCCTCCCCGGCCTCGCCCGCACGCCAGGCCCCCGCACCGCGGCCG